CAGATGAGGCCTCACCAGGGCAGCGTAGAGGGGAAGGAGAACCTCCCTCGACCTGCTGGCCACACTCTTCCTAATGCACTCCAAAATATACTAATGGCATTACCAGAGTACGGCATGGAGCACAGATCCTCCTCGGTGCCGTACATCCTCCACTGCGAGCCGCGTGCCTGGTCCCCCCTGTCCAGGGAGGAATTGCCTGGGCGGGCGCCGAGATGCTGGGAGAGCTGCTCCCCGAGGCCGCGGCAGCTCCAGCGCATGTTGACGGACTCGCGGTCGCACTCGTAGGTGGCCAAGGGGTGCAGCCCGGCCGTGGCGTTGGCCCCGTGCCACGACACCGCCAGGCACTGCAGGGACCCCACGTTGAAGAGGCGATTTCGCGAGACCCATTTCCACTGCTGGGCCGGGGCGCTGGCGTTGCAGCCCTTGGCGAGTCTCACCAGCGAGTCCTTCGTCTCCAGGCAGCCCTGCGCACCCGCGTTGTAGATGAGGAAGACTTTGGAGTCTGGGGAAAAAAACAGGGGGAAAGGGTTAAAGCACGGCTGAGGATTCGGCATTGTACCACGCATTGCCCCCAGCCTTGACAGAGCATCCTGGCTCCCCTTCTATGTCCATTAAGTTTTGGGGTGCACCCCGCGTGCAGCACCCGGCACACTGGGGACCATCGCTTCCCCGCAGATACAACCCCGGGGTTTGCCCCGACGCCTGTCCTCAGGGTGATGGGCCCCAGGCACGGAGGTATGGATGGGTGCTTGCACCAAGTGCAGCATCCCCACGAAGCACCAGCAAGCAGCTTTTGGGCTTGGGAGCTGGTGCAAAGAGCTCATCCGCTCCAAGAGCATCATCAGAGCCCTTTAGAACCGCGTTCCCATCGGCAGCGCCCAGCTGCAGCATCCCAAGGCATCGCAACGAACCCCGCGCCAGCGCCGGAGGAGCCCACGCCAACAGCTTCGGCACCGGCCGTCTGCTCCAGGTGGAGAAAAACAGACCAGGGAAACAGAGAGCGCATCCGTCATTTTTATGTCTATTTGGGGACCTGCTAAAAAATCTGCAGAGCAAACAAGAACTTCGGGGGAAGGTCTCCCAGAGCGTGAACAGGGCGTGATGGAAAACGCTTGCACGCAGCCACGGCTCCCGCGGGCACGGCCCCAGCAAATACGAAACGTCGCGTCGGGACCCTCCGAGATCCCAGCCCGGGCGTGGGGAGGCGGGAGCGGAGCGAGGGGAATCGCTGCCAGCAGATAAAGTGCTAGCGCAGCTGCGGAAGGGAAAATGCTGATCTCCACCCCGGCTCGACGCACGTCCCGCGGTCCTGCCCGCTGCGACGGCCCAACCCCACATCCCCACGGCAATTCCAGCATCACCCAGGCCCACCCCACCACGTGAATCCGTCTCAAAACCTGTACAAACCAGTAAACCCAGGACAATACACTAGACACACTGCTCCAGCTGACGTGTCCTTGTCAGAAGATACTTTGCTTCTTCAAACACATCTTTCTAAGCTAAAAAGCCGCCCCTGGGGCTTTGTGCAGCTGCTTCTTGCCCCAACACCCCAGCAAAAAGCAGCACATCGACAACACGACTTTTGTCGGGCTCTTTTTGTTTTAAAAGCCACCCAATTTTTTCCTCCGCCACAAGCATTCACCAGAAGTCAAAGGGAACTCACGGGCCCCGCTATATTTAGCTTTGGTTTGCTTTGGTTTTTTGCCACTGTATGAATTTTTTGGGCTGAGAAGGTTTTCATTTCCTATTCCCCCGCAACCTCACCCTGCCCCAGCTATGTCGTTACAGGCGGCTCTGGCACGTTCGAGCCACAAACATCTCGGCTCAGCGAACCTTCCTGACTTGTCTCCGAAAGGAACAAAGAAATGGAGGGAAGCAATGAAGGACACCCCCATTTCATTCCAGAGCTTCAGTATCGGCCCGGCTCCAGACAAGAAAAGATGCAAACGGCCCGTTCCCCAGCTGAGATGACATCAGGGATGACCTCAAATAAACCCACGTGAAGCCCGCTCGCATGGCGATCTCCAAGGAGCAGACTCTGTGCACGTGCAACAGAAAAAGGCACTGATCAGAAGAAGAAATGCTTAATTTCCTGGAAAATATTCTTCAAGTCATGGCAAGTGAAAAAAATACGCAAAAAATTCAAACGAGGCTGATTTTGGCTGGCTGAAGCTCAACCCCTTACACCGATGCTGGCGTTACCCAACCGGAGTCAGCTTGATCCTGACCAGGACACCAGAGGACCAGCTCATCCTCCCACCAAGCAGCCATCTCGCGTGCCGGCATCAGCCATGGCATCACCCAGCCCATCACCCTCCCCTTCCCACCTACAGCGAGGGGTGCTCCAACCCACCACCAGCCCCAGGGATGGGGTCTTTCGACACTTCTGGGGTGACACAGCTCCTCACCCTCTACTCTGCCCCAGTGACGCCCCATCTGCAGTGCTGTGTCCAGTTCTGAGCTCTCCAGTTCAAGAAAGATGAGGAGCTGCTGGAGAGAGTCCAGCGGAGGGCTACGAGGATGAGGAGGGGACTGGAGCATCTCTCCTATGAGGAAAGGCTGAGGGAGCTGGGCTTGTTCAGCCTGGAGAAG